AACTGAGAAAGCCATAGAGTTCAATAAGGCATTTATGTGCTTCATTGATGTCACTGAAGCGTTCAATAGGGTACGCTTAAATGATGTCATAACTCTACTAACAAAACGGAAGATTATCGAGTTAAAAACCAATAAATGAATACCTACAAAGCACAAAAATCACGACAGACCAACAGGAAAGACATGTTAAAGAAACTTTATAGTTTGACGCAATCTAACGTACCAGCACAGGAATTACACCACTATTATGAAAACATCAAGGAAACCCAAAATAGGATTTTATCGCTGCACGAAGTACGACAACTGACAGCCAAGATATGGAGGCAACACACTATACAACGAAATACAATCCCTTTTCAATAAAAGACTAGAGGTGAAAAATATACCATCCGAATGGAAAAAGTATTTTGATACTGATTTTCAAAAAGGGAGAAAAAACCGATCCCCAAAATTTTCTAGGTATTAGTTTGATGAGTGTGGTTCTGAAACTATTTACTAAAATTGTGTAACAGAAGTAAATTCTACCGGGATATGTGAAGCAAGGTTTCGGAAATAACAGATGTGGTATAGATGCGATATTTCTAATTCGCCAAATAACTGAGAAAGCCATAGAGTTCAATAAGGCATTTATGTGCTTCATTGATGTCACTGAAGCGTTCAATAGGGTACGCTTAAATGATGTCATAACTCTACTAACAAAACGGAAGATTATCGAGTTATCGAAAAACTGAACACCGAATATTATACCTTTGTGAGAACGGCAAACAAATTAGGCAATAAAATATCTGCGATAACGGGCATCAGACAAGGGGATAGTCTGAGCCCAATCTTGTTCAATATCATAATAAACGCAACGCACCACAAGCCGCGAGAGGATACCCAGTGGGAGACAAACAAATAAAAATAATATGCTATTCTGATGACGCAGTAATCATCTCCGAAGACGAAGATAACCTACAGAAGCTCCTATATAAATTCTAACAAATAGCGAAAATAAGATCCAGTGCAAATACCCACCAAAAAAACAAAATCTCCTATAAATATCTAAAGAACCGAGAAGAAGCAAACTAGCGATTTACGACCAGAGTGTAGAACAAGTGATGTTCTTCAAATATCTAGGGACAAACATAACAAGTGACAGAAACCTAAACAATGAGCTTGAGCTTGTCCTATTCTGGCTTGTCTTATTTCTCGGGAGCGTTCTCCAATAGAGTTCGACATGGTACTCAGGTATTTGTACTCACTTACTCTCTTGACTCTCTCATTGCGAACGTACAATTTTTCCCGGACATTTGCTTTGCTGGTGAAATTTTAAATAAATAAAATTTATTGGTATTACGCGTAAGACCAGCTTCTTCACTGCTATTTAAGATTTTGTCTATCATTCTTTGTAGGTCTGGGCTATTACCAAAGTGTCATCGGCAAAACTGATATTGTTTATCCTTATTCCTTGTTTCTTCAGAAATAACCTCTTGTGTGATTTTCTCAGAGTGGAGGTTAAAAAGTATAGGAGACAGCACGCATACCGGTCTTACCCCTCGTTCTATTATTATCTCCTCACCCTCTCTAAAAACAGCTTTTTGAATATAACATAGATTGCTAATTATTCTCATGCTGTTAAAGTCTATATGTTTTTCGCTTAGGATTTCCATCCAAAATCATCAACTTCTGTTAATAGCTCCATTATCAGGGACATTGTAATATATTATATTTGTAATAAACTTGGTTTGGAAAAACTGCTCCTTACTAACCAATGAATTTTGTTCAAATTAAATTGTACTTATCGAAATTATTGGGGGATTCCAGGATATAAGATATGAATTTTTTTAAATGAGTAACTGCGACGCTGCGTTTTACGGCTGGGAATGTGGGGAATTTCCGCATTTGCCGCGCATAAACGCGATAATACGAGAAAATTAATATCGGAAAATGTGGGCGTAAAATTGATGCCGCATTGACGTATTATGCTCCCGATGCGCGTCCCACGTAGCATATCAATCCGGTGGCGTCCCAATTAGCTCCGATCGATATAATTTAGCGGACCCATAATTCAATCAGCCCACTGTCAAACCTGTCGTCTTCCCATCCGCATTATTGTCTAGTTGCGGGCGTAATAGTTTGCTCACTTGATGGAGCTAATAAAAACGTCAATATCTGCATTCCGGGTGTGATTTCTGCGGCCCCCCATTATAATAATCTACCGGCTTAAATAATAGGATAAAATAATAGAAAGAGTTTGAAACGTGCATCAATGTCTCTCTTAATTAAGAACACAAGTCTACAGTGATTTTGACGTTCCAAAGCTGTTTGCATATTTGTGCCCTTTTTACAAAAAATGCCATATTTTTGTTCTATAAAGTCATTTTTTTTTATAGCTCAATGTTGGGCAAGATTTTTAAATGAATTGATTTTCATCAAATTAAATTTGATCAGTTCCTCATGAACTAGATGTACCGATACCTACCGCCCCAAAAGAACTAGAATATCGTCAGTCCGAAGTGTTTAACCAGAACGAACTATTTAATTAGAGATTTGCACCTTCCAAAGGATGCATCCGAATTGTTAGCGCCCAAACTTCGTGACAAGCATTTACTGGCACCTGTCGTCACATCAATCTTTTACCGGGATCGCGAAAAAGAGTTGTGTCAATATTTTACTTGGTAAGGACCGTTAGTGTATTGCAACAATATTCCTGAGTTAGTTTCAAAATTACGAAATGAATAAAAAATAAATTATTTTGGAAATATCGTTTTTTTCCCTTTAATATTGACAAAAAAACTTTACGTGATACAAATAAAAATCACTTTTCAAAACAAAAACATCAGTCAAAATGTTTGAATTTGTAGACTTGTCTAATCTTCATCGTATTTTCCTTAGTGCTTGTTCTTTTTTAAGAATTCCTTAGAACCTGGTAATTTTCCGAATTTTTGGTACCTATTGACAAGACACATTTCCTAAAATTTTTCAGAAAATTGCACCAAGCACCAATTTGATTGTATTGATTTTTCCAAAGCCAGTACCACATACCATATTCTTCTTAGTAAGCTTTCAACACAGTGCTTGAAAGGTCACATACTTAACTGATAGAAGTCGTATATAGGTTCCATCGGAAGTTTCTCTTTTTGATGACTTAATGACTTTTTGATGACTTAATACTATTCAAATGTTCTTATTCAAACTGCCAACAACTTCTGGATAACTTAAATAGGTTTGTATTGTGGTGCAACGCCAAGAGATTACCAAGTACAAAGCCATGATGAAGTTAGATGGTGTTCTCGCGCCTATGCAGTTCACAACATACTTGGGACTTACTTTATAAACTATATTTTGCTGACCACGTCAGTATTATAACAACCAAGTCTCTTATGATGCTGAGGTCTCTTTTAAGAAATACCAGTGAAATCTCTTTATCATTCACTTGTTAGAGGCCACCTCTTAGGTGAGCCCGTTTCGAAAGTTTCTCCATTTTATTGATTTGATTGATTCGTTTGATCATGGAGGTCTATTTCTTGAACTTTTTCTGATCTGCCTACTAACCAATGCACTGGCTGATTGTTCGATTTTAACCTCACAGATTGGTTTACATATTCCTATTAGAGCCACACGTAGTACCCAACCATTTCATGATCATTGTTACCTTACAAACTAAATGGTTAGTACGTTTTTATCATCACCTCAGCCCTGGCTAATCATATTAATAGGTAGGATTTATTTTTGATTTGTATTAAAGGGTCGTCACACATTATTTCTGGTCGGTTTCAGTCTACTCAACAAATATTCCAGTCAATCAACATGAATATAGGTAAATGGGTTTAAAATTACTATTGGACGCACATAGACAGAGAGACAAACTCCCTTGTTAGGTCGTGTTTCGATTTATATTAAGCCGCCTCACCCCATGCACCAAAAGGCGCGGTAAAAATGGCAAATGACGAGCTCGCGTGGGACACTGGTAACCACCGCGGTAACAAGATAAGTTAAATTACATTCCGCGGCAGAGTTTCGCGACGATATTGATAAAGTTACGTCCTTGATCCAATAATGGAGACGCGTGAGACGTGATCGGAAATTACTCGAACCTGCATGACGACGTGTTTAAAGGCAAACAAGCGGTTCAATAGGATGTGGAGAAACTACGTCGAGCAAAGTGCGCAGACAGGTTCAATGCTTGATTCGATAACGGGAAATTTCTAGATTTTTTTACGAGTAAAAAGATCGAGAGAAGGTATGGTGAACCCATGCTGAGCATTTGTGACTCACGATCAGTCGTGATCAAATCTGTAAGTGAATTTTCGTACAGGGTCAATATTTTTCTTAACATCGCTCCTTTTTCAAAACAAAAGTTGCTGCTCAGCATTTTTCACTCACGGTCATAGTCGCGAACCCAAACTTTATCCACTAAAAATTTTTCCGGACCTCGTCAAATTGGTCAATGAATTTTCCGGTCCAAAAGGTTTTTTCTATAGGGTCAACATTTTTCAAACCAAATTCTTGATATAAAATAAATTTTTCAGTTTTTGCTGTGTTGCAGATCAAAGGTTTCCTTGAAAACAACAATTTTCAGTTAAAATCCATTGGCCCGTCCATCATCTGATATGAAGGCGAAGATCATAATCATCATCACGAGACATTAAGTGACCTCAACTCCTATTACGTCATGGGACATTGTTAACCGTTAGCCGAGTTTTTCAAGTCGCAGACGGTGGCGTTGATTTTGATAAAACGCAATAAACGGGCGGTAAATTTTGATCAAGGCAACGCCGGGAGCCGCGTTGACCATAAATCAGGCCAAAAACCACAAACGACCTTATTACGTTTCAGCTTTTATAACGCAGAAGCCGAGCTAAGGGGGTCGGAGGATATAAAACTGTTAAACCTTCCCGGCGTTATATGAACCGATCGAGCTCTCTCTCTCTCTCTCACCCTCCTCCTGTTAACGACTTAATGGGTGCAAAAGAAGCTTGTTTGCAAGATAGTAAATTTCCCCGCGATAATCTTACCTAAGTAGGTGGCTCGCAGGCCGGCGTACAAGCTAAACGAGCACAGCGATATGGTGAGCCATCTAGCGCTCGATTCCGTAACGGCCCCGTTTCCTGTAACAAGAGAACAGTTTCAATTAAGATTTGCGAGGGAAATTAAATTCGTTCACCGATAAGCGCCCCGCCGGTAATTAGGGAAAACGACGGATCGGATAACGTTTGGTTTATTTGTCGCGCTTCCCGAACATTTCTTTTGGTCGCACAGTATTTTCGCAATTAATATAACGCGTAGTTTTTCTTATACCCCAGAAATCACTTGTTTTCTAGTGCTTCGTCTTCTTCTTCACTAAAATTTAGATAAACTTCAAATGTAATTTTCTCGGGAAATGCCTACAATGATTTGAATACAGTTTTGTTTAATTGTAGATTTGCTCTTCAGATATGTTGTAATGAAAAACATTTATATTTAAATTCAAGTTTAAGGCATGTGCAGATTGTTTTAAGAAAACCCGATTTTATACTCAACTTCACCCGTCAATACTATTGGGCATCTGTCAATGTCAATGCCTAGCTTCATCTTTTCCCACTATCTTGTTTTTTTATTTCAATAGTTATCTCAATTACGATAAGTTTGCCACATTACAAGAGGAGTTTTATAATGCCTGAATTATTTGAAAGAGGTGAACATTGAGAACTTGCAGTACCCTACACGCTGCTCATACCTTCGTCTTCTTCTCATTCCTCTGTGTCACGTTTACAATATCTCCAGTGTATTTTCTTCAGCCCTTCTGAATATACTTGCAGCATCAGATACGCCACACCGATCTCTTAAGTATTGAAGCCAGGAGTGTTTTTGTTTTTGCTCTCAATCCTTCATATGGCCCCCGATTTTTCGTTGTTTTACTATAGACATAGACAGCTTTTCGCAATACTTCCTCAGTCGTTACGTGTTCGGTGCAGGAGATACGCAACACTTGGCAAAGTGTACACATCTCAAAGCCTTCAATTGGGTTTAGCGATCTTTTTTTTGTCCTATTTCTATGAACCAGAACATTCCTAAGCTTAAAGAATGTCGTTTTTGTCCATTTATGTTTACTGTTTACCATAATGATTGAGTTTGTTGAGTAACTACTGGACATCTTCGAGGTTGCAGTGTTATCAGCACAGCGGATGTTATTTATCCAATGAGTTCCATTGATTTTTAAACCCCATGTCTCCAGGGACAGCTAAAATAGTTTCTCAAAAGAAATATTGAATAGGATAGGCGAGAATATACATCCTTGTCGAACTTCTGGAAGGTCTCAGTGGATCTTACTTCCTCTAGCTGTTGCCAATATAGTTATGCCAATATAGTTATTTATTATTCCGATATATTTATCCTTTGCCTTTTGATAGTCCATAATGCAGCTGAAAACATCTTGCCTCTGATCATAGCACTTCTGTACAAGAACTTTCATTGGAAAGACATCCTTCATTGTTCCAAGTACTTTAACAAAACCGAATTGTGTGTCCCCATTCATATCCTCAGACTTGTTATGTATCCGTGTATGAATAACTCGGAGTAATGCCTGAAGTGCAAAGCAAATATTTTTGGAATAGGCACAAAATTAGACTTTAGCCACTCTCATAGAATTGGACCGGAATCATATATCCCATTGCAGGAATGCGTGAGTAGTTCAATGCGTAGGCAACTTCCGACTTTAGGATTTCCTGCCTCGCCATACTGTCAGGGTTCAAACATTCGACATTGGCGTTTGTTTCTTCATATTTTGTTTCACATTTTTATGTAAAAAACTGCAATTCTTAGTTGGCAAGAATATTAGCCTTGAAACTGACACAAATTCTAGTGTGAGTTAGTTATGACTCTATATTTGACAAGGAGCGAACTTTTGTCTATAGGTGACATATCACAAAGTCCACGAGGTAGATCAATATATAGGCTATGCTGTTTCTAGAATTATTTCGGTCGTTTTTATTATTTCAATTTCTTGAATGTATATTAATATGGGCCAAAAATCTCGTTATGGAAGTTTACAGGTACGAACGGCCATAGAAGCGGCATAACCTATCTACTCGCAGCAACAACAAAACGATTGAAAAAATTATCACCAAACTCTTTTAAAATCTCTACAATATTACAAAAGCAAGAGTTGCGACGGTTACGCTTTTTCTGAATACATATGGACTTCATTTAAATTGTTACAGAAAGATATATCGGAGATACGAGGGCAGCGCCAAAATTTCTAGGCCTGAATATGAAAGAAACAAAGTAGAGTAACAATTTTTTTATTATTTTTCAATATAATCCCCCTTAATTTCAATTCACTTATTACATCTCTATATTAACAACTCAATCCCTTTAAAAAAATACTCTTTTGGTTTGTCTGCAAAATGAGCTAAAACAGCCTCTTTTAACTCATCCACCGTCCACGTAAGCCCTTTTTCAAATATCCAAACAAATAATGGGCCATATCTTGACTATAGAGAGGATGATCTATCTGTTCGAACCCACACTCTAAAATGGCAGCTTGCGCAACACCAGCAGCATGGATAGGTGCAACATCGTGCAAAAGTAACGCACGCCTCTGGTCAGTTTTACACGTATGCAGTCTCGCAATTTATGTAATAATGTTGGGTAATATTTAACCATTGATAATGGTATTAGTTTCTTTAAAATCTATCAAAAGAATTCCTTTTTTGTTGATTGGCAGACTCTGAATTTTCTTGGAGGTGCTTCACCCTTACGACGCCACTCCATTGATTCTTTTTTCGATAGAGGGTCATAATAGAGAACCGTAGTTTCGTCGCCCGTCACAATAGTTTCTATCACAGGCTTCGGTTCCGACCCACAGGGTTCCAAAAAAGACCGCCCACACTCGACTGTTTTTGAATAGCTGAAAGGTTTTTAGCAACCCATCTTGCACTAACCTTATGCATACCTAAATGATCATGCAGGATTCGACGAACACTTGTATCAGAAAGCTAAGTAATTTCTGAAATTTCCTTGACCTTTAAACGTCGATCACTCAATAAAACCTCTTCTACAATGGCAACAATATCTTCCGTTATGACCTCACTGGTCGACGAGTTCATGAATCATCTTGAATCCAGCCTGTCTTTAATAATTTTAGGTGCTAACCCAACTTTTGTCAAAAACTTTATGACTGCTCTATACTCAATTTACGTTATTTGCGACACTCTTTCGGACACGTCTTGTTTAAAATGTTGTCAATAAAAAACTTTTTGACGCAAGACTTCAATTTGTTTTCGCAGCCTACTAAAATATATATGTAAAAGAAGACAAAGTTTTATCGTCATACTGGAATTGCATCTATGTCAGGCGGGGAAATTTTGGCGCTAACCTCGTATACTCAAAAGATATGATATTTACCCATCGTTAACACGTAGATTTCGTTGAGGGTTGAGTTAAGGTTGCAACGCGAGATTTACAACTGCCCGTAAAAATGGAGGGGGGCACGACGAACGATTCAAAATGGAGGACCCAACCCTTGGCTTTCCCCTGGCGGCCGTTTATATTTTTAGGCCATTTATTTTTAGTTATGGTCGTGGCCGGTCCATGGGTGCTTTTACTTTTATTTACCCCCCAACGCTCTCCAATAAAGTCCATCGGACCTGAGAGGGATGTTTGCCGTTGCGTTTTATGAAGTCTACGCGCCGTTAAGGACCCGGGAGCAAATGGCGGAGAGAACGTGGAAGATTTAAAGATTAACCGGTAACGCTTCCAAGATCAAAGCGTCGGAGCTAATGTGTGGGCCCGTGTCGTTACTTTGAGAGTTTTGAACGACGGCACGCGAGAACACTAAAAGTTCCCGGGCCCCCAAACTATTTAATTGAGAAGTAAATAAAGTTTTGATATCGGGGTTGCTGTTAGACGATTGCCTTTTCAATGGCGGACCCGCTTGAGACTTCGGGAGAATTCGAGCACAACTCCACTGCTACTACGTTTTGTTTTTTATTTTTGATTTATAAAATGAACTTTTATTTTTGTCTATTTAATTAAAAAAAGGTAGGTGTCTTGAAAAATTATTAATAAAGTAGCCATTGCGACATGGTTGAGAGTAGAGCAGGGAGTTTAATTAAAAACGCGAAATATAAAATAATTAACATCGAAGCGGTTCCGACAGTGTCGACAGCTTTTGACAAACGATAATGGCCCCGTGACACGCGGAGCAAAAATTAATAAAAAAAAAGAACCGCAGCGTTTTCGTTATTAAAAAATATACGCCCTAATGCGCTAAACGTATAACGCTAACAACGTAATTTTTCAAAAATAAAAATTAACTTCTCCGTTTCGTTTTATTATTAACCGGGCGGGATTTGCTCGCGTTTTAGCAGTAATTTCAGTCTAACGCTCGGAACGCCTTTTTGGCTTTTTAATTTTAAAATTTTCAGACACGGAACCGCTTTCCGCCTGCTTAAATGGAGAAGGCAGATATTAAAGCTTCCCCAGGCGAGAATGGCGTAGAATTTGTTGCGTTTACTGTTCATTTTCTAAGCAAAAACCTGTATGAATATAGGTATGGTCTAATCATACATATAAGACAGTGACCAATTGCTTTTGATTGGGATTATCCAAGGGTGGTCATTAACATACAATGCAACAAGATTATTACCTAAAGTTTTGGAATTTAAATTCAGGTAAAATTATGGTCCGTAATAGAAAATAATTTTATACCTACCTGTGTTTAACATTCTTTGGTTTGGTGTACTACTTAGTTTAAGTTGATTAGTAATCATTTTTATTTCGTGTGTAATACAGCCTGTGTTGAATCGTGTGCGAATTATGCAAAATATGTGCGAGTCTAGTGTATCTGAACCGATGCTCCTGCCCAAATGTAGAAAACACTATTCTATTGAGGCTAAGGAAGTTATAAACAATGTTTATTTGACTCTCATTGAACGTGGTGCCAGCAAGCAAGCAAGCATCTTTGGAAGAAACATCAACTGTATGGAAAATTGTGAATAATCCCATTTCAGCGAGGAAAAAAGAAGCGATGCTGACATTTTCTCGAGTGTAGATGAAAGTGATCAAGATATAATACGGCGTAAAATTTACCAGTTATACGAGCAACAAAGTATGCCTACATTAGATA